TTATATAGATATACACACAGTATATGTTTTAAACAAACAATTTAATACTGTTCACAGCTATGATGATTGTGAAGCTTGGTTGAGGTGGTGGAGTCAGAGGGTGGGATATTTCCCAGGAAATGCCTTGCTGCGAAATGATGAACTAGCACTTGGCTGAGCCCTCAAGGGTTAACAGGTTGTTAATGTAGTTTCTCATCAAGGCAGCATGAACAGGAGGGACGGGAGGCCACATAGCAGACAGAGACACACACACCTTGTGTGTGGGAGAGAGAGAGAGATGCACACTGCCCCTTTAAGTAATCTGACCCACTCTTAAGTACATTGTCTTTTTAAGTGGATCAGGAAGTTGAGACAGCAGCTGCTGCCCCAAGCTTTCTCTGTCTCTCTCCCACCATGTCCCCTCCCCGTTCTATATAACTGCAGGAGCAGGGGGAGGGGGACACCCTGACATTAGCCCCCCCTCCGCACAGTAAACAGGAGTCTCTGGGAGCAGCTCCAAGGCAGAGGGCAGGAGCAGCACATGGCAGTGGGGGGAGGGACAGCTCAACTGCCGATTGATAGCCTGGTAGGCGGCTGCAGCACAGGGAACTTAGGGGAGTGGGGGAGCTGATAGGGGGGCTGCCGGTCCACCCTGGTTCCAAGCCCCCACCAGCTAGCTGCAACGGGCTGCTCTTCCTGCAAGCAGTGGACAAAGCAGGCGGCTGCCAAACGATGTTAGAAGGGAGCATTGCACAACTTTAAACGAGCATGTTCCCTAATTGATCAGAAACGTAACAACGAAACAACGTCAACCGGGACAACTTTAAGTGAGGAATTACTGTAGTAGCAGTCAGGAGAAGACAAATGCAGGACTCCTTGTGGAACTAACAAAGCAAGAGAGTAGACAGCACGGTTTAAACTGGAGAGAGTGAGAGGATCTGGCTGAGAGTTAAGATGATATGGGGCTGAGTGGTATGGTATGCTGCTGATGAGAAGCAAGATGAGGAAGGATTCACTTGCCAGTTTGCATCATTATGGAGCCTGCAAGGGAAAACCAACATCATGAGTGTGCAACTTTTTTTCTCTTTGGGTCAAAAGGGCAGTGGCAATGCAATCTGCTGCTTGTGTAGAAAGAGTGCCAGTAAAGATAAGATTGGGAACGTCTGCTCTAATATGCCACCTGCAAACTAACTATAATGTGGCAGAGACATCTGCATGCAAAAATCCCCTGGCCCGTGTATGTTGAGAAGACAAATTGCCAGCATGCTAAACTAATGTTCTTAATTGAGATGAGTGCAAATCAAAAAGTATCAGAGCATTTGAACCTGGGGTCTTAGTTCAGAATGCCATAGAGACAGGGCCGGCTCTAGCGTTTTTGCCGTCCCAAGCGGCAAAAAAAAAAAAAGCCATGATCGGCGGCAATTCGGCGGCAGGTCCTTCGCTCCGAGAGGGAGTGATGACGCTTTCACTGAATTGCCGCCGAACGGCTGGACGTGCCGCCCCCCTCTTCATTGGCTGCCCCAGGCACCTGCTTGCTACGCTGGTGCCGGCCCTGCATAGAGATAAGAGACAGTGATAAAATGCAGATCCAAATCCCGGTTGAGATGTAGAACACAGGGAGGTCATGATATGTATATACGCAAATGTATGTACAGGAATCTGTGTGTGAGATCATTTATACACATCCCAGTCTCTATTCGGTACTGCTGGGTTTTTTTTATATTTTTGTTGAATTTTTAAGCAGAATACTGTAATACATTTGCAATATTACCCATATAGTCAAATACCTACTGACCCCAATGGGAGCCTCCTGCATACGCTAACTACTGGGAGTAGTAAATGTTTACAAGATCATGTTCAAAGACCACCGATAATTGTGACCACCGATAATGGTCACAAGTCCTCTGTAGTCAATATTTCTAGGGTGCTGACTCCAGAATTTATTTGCTACTCTTTATCATCATGTTAAAAATAGTCTCCTCCTTTCCCTTCCCTGTTCAGATTCAGAATCTAGTTTTCCATTATTATTATTATTTTATTTATTTTTATTATACCTGAATGCCACAGCTGGATTGTACTGAATGTTTAATTTCTGGAAACAAAGGGAGCAGAGTTGAAAATTTGAGAGTGACAAGGCCCAATTCTGCCACCCTTACTAATTGTGAGTAGTAGCACCTGACCAATCTGAGTAGTAACATGGAGTGGAGCTGGTTAAAAAAGAGGGCTTTCTCCTCCATACGAAAAACTTCTATGAAAACCATTTTATTTTTATCTACATCTTTCATGGAAAACTTTGATTTCCAGCAGAAATTCAAAAACCACACCCCAAAATATTTCCATTTGGAAATGCTGCCATTGTGCCACATGGGACTTGTAGTTTGGGAGACTCAAGCTCCCATTATCCCCTTTATTCAGATCTTCCTTGTTAGACTACATAGCCCATGATGCATCATGTTCTACCCTCTCAGATTGAGGAGAGAGTACCTGGTCACAGCGCATAATGGAAGACATAGCCCAGATGGTGAGCCTACCCAGAAGAACAGATGAGGACATGAGACACTGTGGCAGCATTTCCAAACTGAAATATTTTGCCTTTCAGCTGAAATACTTCAGTTTTGAGGTCCTTGTTTTTTCAACCAAAAATTTGAAATTCTCTTCAGAAAATATTTTGCCAAAAATCTAATATTCCATCAAAAAACAGTTTCAGGGGAACACTTTTAACCACTTCTATTGTGGACTTCAATAGACTCTTTTATACTATGGGCACCAGGGTTGGGAACAGCCATGCAATTCTGATCTGGGTGAAAATTTCCCTTAAAATTAGATTTGTTCTGATCTGAGACTTGATATGGGTCTATCTCTAGTTTTTGATTAACATGTAAATTGCTCTGTCTGAAATCTGAAAAAGATTTGTTTTTTCTGAGAAATATATATTGGAACTGAACCTACATTAAATTTGAATATTTGCAAATCTGTGGACTTAAAATCTATCTGTAAGTTTGAATTTTACAATCGCACTACCTGCAGTCCTAGCAAAATGTCACATCCCATGTTTGTGACACACCAAAGGAAAGTCTATGGTATGAAGAAGTGTCATAATTAATTGTACATTAACAGACTTAAGGGTTTCTGAGACTATTCGGTATAATAGTGATACAATCAGTGCCTGGATTTAGTTCAGAAGCACTGAAGCTGCAATATTCATTGTTTCCCAAACCATTATTTTTGCTCTACTGAACAACAGCTGCTGTATGGCAGTATTTTGAGCTATCCTGTTAAAGATCCATTCACTGATGCAAATAGGAAATGTTATGTCTTCTATTACTTTTGATAGATCTCCTGTGGATTTTTTTTTTACAGTTAAATATAAATCACATGTGAAATCCCTTCTTGTAAATATAGCATATGTACAAGGAGTAAATCAAGTTGATACAATCTATTCCATTGTCGTAAAGCATCTCCTATATGGAATACATAACAGAGTGATAAATAATATTTCATATATTACTATACCTGTGTGATATTTCACTAGAAACTGACAGATCACGGGAAAGCAACTGCTGGAGAATTCTTAATGAAAAGTAAAGAAAACTAGTCATTTGGGGATTTTGTTCTGTATTTAATACAGCTGAACATGTAGGGCTAAGTTATCTTTACGCACATCCCTAGGTAATGGGTGGAACACTGGAAGAAACTGAGAAGAATCCCTCAAACAATTATTTCCAGGATTCCCCTTTTGCATTGGAGTAATTTGTGACATGCATTTCCCCTCCCTCTCCATGCAGCTAGCCAACTCTGTCCAGGAGGGGAAACATTTGGATTAACTTCTTTCAGCACCTACAGCTCACATCTAGGTAGCCCTAATGC